GACTCAGTTAAAGTTATACCTCTCTACCCTTCAACCAGCAGAATAATTAATCAGCATACATTTGGGGCCACATTACTATCCCTTTATCTCAGTTGTAGTGTGCAGTTGATGGACTATTCCTCATTTACCATAGAGAAAAGTTTGCCCTCTCCCCAGCTGGCAGAAAACCATCCATTTACAGAACTGTGATGAGTAGTAATTTTGACAGGTACAATACTTAGTAGTCTATCAGATTTAGCCATTTGTTAGAATTTCAGGCCAGGAATCAATTTGGAGATTTGGTACATGTAGGAGAATTTAGTTTGAAACACAATTTCATTAGGTTTCATGCTACAGTATCTTTTTTCCTAAATAAAATGCAATGAAACCCATGTAAAAATAGTGGTCATGACACATGTCTTTGGGAGAGCATTTCATAATAATGGGAAGTTCCAGGTAGCCATGTTGGCAGTTGTGACAGATATGTGTGCTGTAGTACAAAAGAATTATTTTGTAGTTTGGATTTAGATGTTTGATTAAAAAATAATCTTTTGAAAGAAATAACTGTTTTGTGGCACTGAAATAATTTTTTCACCCTCAAATCAATCTTGGCTCCTGATATCATCATCGACACCTCTTGTAATTTTTTAGTAATTGTTCAGAATTTCCATTGCATTCTTCCTCAGAATTTTCAAGCAAATGCTTCTCACAAAATATATGTACTTTAAAGCTTTAGTAATCCCAGAATTCATGTATATCTGTGATAATCATTTTCATGAAATTCTTCACTTCTTTTTATAGTTCTGAATCTTAGGATAAGTACTGAATGAATTAAATTCTAGGTGTTTGCTAATTTCATAAAAGCTGCGATTTAGACATGCTATCTGTTCATAAAGAAAGAGGTATCAGTTGTGTTAAGGATGCTACATTCTTTAGGGTAGAATCTGGAAAACATTTCTGCTTAAGAGTTCAGCTAAACTGATTAATTTATCCAAATCCCATAGCATTATAGAGAGCTTAAATTGTGATTAGTTACTCCTTTGGTCTGCTGGAACAGTAAGCTGAATTTCCTTATATGGATTTGGACAAATCGGTAGTTCAGTGCAGGAATGGTTCCCCTTGAATCTCTAGCTAGGCTGTTAATAAGAAAGATCGCGGGTTGCTCCCGATCTATGGATACTTCTTGGCTCTACCGGAGCTGGCTTTTCTAGCTTGGCTCGGCGCTCGATTACTTCAGCTGATCTATCTCAGCTGGAGTTTTCGGCGCTCCACCGTCCCGCCTCGCTGCCGCCCTGCATGTGCCGGAGCCAAGATGGCGGCCTCCACCCTCTCTCAGCCCAAGGCGACAAAAGCGGTGGCGGCGTTGCGGCCCCGAGACGAGGAAGAGGGTGCGGGGCCACCTTCGGAGGCCGGTAAGACCCTGGAAGTCAAAACAAAACCCCCAAAAAAAGGGGGGGAAACTCGGCTTGCCCAGTAGGAAGGCCGAGCTCGGCGTGACAGCTTACAGGTCGCTTCCCTCTTCGGATATCCCCTTTCCCGGCCTCCGGATCAGCCCGGGCTGCGCCCGAAGAGATCGCGGCGCTGTTGGCTCCCTGGAGGGAGGTGTCGGAGAGGGCTGAGTGACAAGTAGCTGCGCCCCGTTTCTCCTCGCCCTTCCGATCGCAGGCCAGGATCTCTTTTCTGTCAAGGCCTCGGTTCCCCAGCCTTCCACCGCCACAGTGGTCAGCATTCATTCATCCGCCTTTTCCTTCAGCTTGCAGCACCCGCAGCCACTGGCCAGCGCCTGTCGCGGCTGGTCCCTGCCTCTTAATACGGGGGAGCCTGGTCTTTGGAGAAGAGTTCGCTTCATCAAGCATCTTTGTCCTTGGGGGGGAGGGGAGGGTGGTGGGGATAATCATCTACGCTCAATGGTTACTATTTCATCATCGTGTCAGTTCTAAACACGAGCTGCCTCCATATCTGCCTTCTGGTGGGTTTTGAAAAATCCTTTTAAAATGTAGTGCTTGTTAACTCATCTAGCTAAAAACCTAAAGGTATATATGAAAGGGATTGATTACACTGGGTATAAATGTATAAGATGTTAGTGCTGTGGTAATTGCTTCATATATGCCCGAGTTTAAACACTCCAGAATGATTGATTCTGTCTTTAAAGCTAACTGTAATAGAAGATAAAATAATGCAACAAAGTAATTATATTTTAAGGTGCTGTTGATTCTGTTAGTTTCCTGAGTTTATAAAATATAGTTTATATAAAATATAAAATATATATGATGCGTAGTGATAATTGAATCCGTTTTATTTAATAGAAGGTCCCTAAACTTACTGTTGCGTCTCTATATTCTTCTTTGTAATTTGAACCTACGTATATTTACCCAGAAGTTATTTTAAAATATGTTTTATTAAGTACATTCTTACCCTGCTTTTGTTCCATGGAGCTTAGGGTAGGGTAAATTGTTTAATAGCAGACCTATGAAATAAAATAGGTTGAGGTAGTGAAGATCCAAGGTCACCCAGTGATCTTTATGGCTGAGTGGAGAGTTGGTCCCAATACACCATGCTAACTCTTTGCTTTAATAGAACCGTGGTTCATGCACAGTTCTGATTGAAAGTTTCCCCCCTCCATTATGGAGAAAAATTGCCTTTGTAATTTTTTCCCCAACATCTTTTTTCAGATTATTTTATTTTATTTTACCAGTTACAAATTATATTTTGTAAATTGTGTAATTGGCATATTGACCTTCAGATAATTATTTCAATTAACTAGATTTTATTGTTACAATTTTTCCTCTACATGTGTACTGAATTTTTATATGCTTGACAGAATTGTAGATGCCAGAGTGAGGTACTTTGAAACTAAATCCAAAGAGATTCTGGATCAAAGAAGGAAATACTTTTTCAGACACAGCATAATTAATCACTGTCAGTAGTTGTAGAATAGGCAACCAATATAGTTGGATTTAAAAGGGGATTGAATAAGCTCATGAAGTAATAAATGAATATGCTTTTAACCGCTCCCTTGGCTGTAGGCAGCATTCTTTATAAACAAATGAATCAAATTGATCACTTATGTGTCAGAACATGCTGTACAAGGTGCGCTTAGGATCTCACAACAGGGCTTTTCTTATGTTCATATGTACAAGCAGGAATTACTTTTATGAAATTGAAACTGGCATCTAAGCGAGGATTTCAGATGTTATATTACCTTTCATTCATAAATTTGTTTAGTTCATCCAGTGAATATTGATTCTAAATATTTTATGACTTCCTACCCAAGGAAACAATCATTTTTTTAATTTACCAAAATAAAAAAATTATTTAATTATCTCTAGTATTTTTATTTTGTTTCTTTGGATTTGAATGTTTCAAGCTTTTAAATTTAGCTGGCTGTTATATTTATGTATAATGGATTAATCCGATTTGTAATATTTGTACATACGGTTTTTTTCATATTTTGATTTTTAAAAGCCTTTGAATGTCCCATATACATTTTGAAGAAAAATAAGGATTGTATTATGAATATCCTATTTTAATGTTCAATTTTTTTCTAATAAGATACATATGCAGCAAAACTAAATGTAATTGATCTTTATGGAATTTAATTCCAAACATAGGATTGTATTGTTAGCTTAGTATAGTTTATGTCCATCAGGAAAAAGATTTTTTCTTAACTAACCTGGACAAAGTAGTGAATAGCCTATATACTACCTAATATTGTCACACTCCTAATCTACAGTTTTCAATTCAATCCCTATATTCCCTTCTGTTGTTTGATAGTTATGGTTTCTGAGGAAGAAGAGGAGATGATTACCTCAGCGATGAGCTCCCCACTCCTACAGAAGAAGAATTCTCTGGCTGGGTCACTAGATCAGATTCCAAACCGAATAGGAACCTCACTCTCTCCTGAATCTTCAAGCAACAAGGCAGACTCCCAGGATGCCAAATGTGAGTCTACCTTCTCTCACGGTTGCTACTGAACTTTGTGTGGTATCCATGATGGAGAAACTCTTCTCTGTGCCTCAGCTTACTTTTAATACATATCTGATCACCTAATAATTTGTGTAAAGGATGTGTAGGGTGAATATTAATTATACATTTTATTGTCCAATATGGAATTTTCATGATTAAAAACTTTTATTAATCTAGATAAAATATTACAGAAATAAATCTATAAAACACTTTAAAATGTTTATGTGTATAATAATAAAATAGTTCTACTAATGATTTTATTCTAATGGTCTGTAAAGTTACTTCAGGTGATCCTTCATCTGAATGTCAAAAGAAAAACAAATTTCAGGAGATTATGAAACCCACCTCAAATTTTGCAAGTAAGATTTAGCAACCTTACATATATTGGATTTTTTCATTTTTTAAAATGTAATTTTTAATTTAATTTTGGAATATCATAGATGCTGTTTGGGTGAGTCAATTGTAATCTTTAAATGCTGCTCCTACTGCTAATGTAAGTAGCCTACTTAAAGACTTTCTTATTTCATCAAGCTGGCCTGACCTAAGTCTTTCCCCTTTTTAAATGGAAATTTTAAATTTGGTTTTAAATTATTGGGGTTTTAAATTTGTTCAGCCAAATTATTTAATTTGTTTTATTTTATTTTAAATTTTGTATTTATATGTTTTATTCTATGGCTGTTCACCGCCCTGAGTCCTTCGGGAGTAGGGCGGTATACAAATTCAATAAAATAAAATAAATAAAATAAATAAAGGAAAGAGCTGAGAAATGCTGTTCTATATATTTTCATGCATTTTAAAAATAATTCAAAATTGTATGTGAAATTAATAGATTGTTCATTAATAGAATTACCATTCATCTAACTGAAGTATCCTTTTTCAGATATGAATTGTTGACCATAATATGCGTAGGTACTTAATGAGACTCAAAATATTTTCTCGTTGTTATAAAGTGTAGCCACAAATCTTTTTGTATGTACAGAGACAGCATAATAGAAGATGTCTGTAGAATTATCCAATCCTGCACTACTGGCTAAATGAACAATACTAGAACAGTGCACTGTGCCACATCTTTACTGAACACGTTGAATCAATATTTATGTTTTTTTCTTAGAAAAGTACATTTTAGTTTTAGGATAACCACCTTCTTAAGTGGTAAGTTGAATTAGATGTTCCAGTCTATATATCAGGCTTCTACAAATAAGTTAACAATCAGATATGAGTCTAAGGTGTTTTCTATAAAAAGGAGAGTTCACACAACTGGAATCTGCTCTTCCTGATCCAGGTTTGTGGAAATGAATTATGTTCTGATCAAGAGAGATCTCTACAGACTTTGGAAAACGGGTTGGTAATGCCCTTGTGGATGAAAATGGTACTGAAATCATTGCCAAAGTTATTGGCCTCTGTCAGACCATGATCAGGGAGATAGCATACAGATTGAAAAAATGTACTCTAGTATCATTGTTATTCTTCTCAGGAGTGGTCCAGCAGAAATTACTCTGAAAACAAAGTATACAATACTATGGGAAACTACAAAGAGGTAATAATGAAGGATCTATGAACTGTTCTTGCATTGTCTCTTATCAGTGTTCATGAGCCCATCATTAAAAAAAAGCAATGAACAAGTGTTTGCACAAATGAGACTACAGTGGAAATGTTTGCCATTCATGAGAAGAATTACATCTGGAGGGCGAAAAAACTGCATTCCAACAAAGAAACTTGTCTCAGCTATAAATCGTCGTAGCCAGATAATCATTTGCAGCTCCTTTGCATCTTCAGAATCTGAAAGTCTGACATTCGTTGATGGAACAGTAGATTCTGGATTGTATCGGCAAATTCTACAAAAAAAAAAAAAAAAAAATCAGGATATTTATACTTGAGCTGAAATTTAAACAAATGCAGATCATGAAACATGATAATCCTAAACAACCAAGAAATCTACTTGGGACTGGCTGAAGGAGAAGAAATTTCATATTGGAATGACTGAGCCCAAACCCTCATCCTAATTGAATCTTGTGGACAAAACAAGCCCCAACATTACAATGAATTTAAGTAGCTCTGTAAAAAGAAGCGGGTGGAATACTTCAAAACTGATAATGTAGGACTCACCAACAGATACAGGAAACTTTTAGTTGAAGTCATTGATATTAAAGGAAGTATCACCAGTTATTAAATCTAGAGAGAGTGAGTGTTGATTCAGTGTGTTCAATGGAGATGTGTGTTGTTTGTTTAGCCAGAATCTCTCTATCAATTAATAGGAACTAGGTAAGACTCAGATCACATTGTAGATCATAATGCTTCCAGATTAAGTATAACTTGGGGATTCACAAAGTTTTTTTCATGATTGTATGAAGTTTTATTTTGAATCTTAAATATTGATTTGTATATTTATTCGTATATATTTCTGAAACATAAGACACGATACATAGACAACATTGAGACATAGGCAAGTCTTTTATTTTATTTTATTTAGCTAATCAATAGCTATATTTCTTTAAAATATTTTGCTTTGCTCTTCAGTTGAAAACAATTCAAGAGCAACTTAAAATATAAATAAAAACAAGACATTTCCCTTCCAAAAGCTTATATATTAAAAAACACAAAAGGAAAAGGGGAGGAAAATAATTAGTTTTGAGCACCAATTCTTAAAATTATATCATATTGTTATAACACGCAGTTAGAAAGGAAAAATCCAGGAGAAGAAGAGACTGATAGATTTGATCCCTCAGTAGATTAGATGGAATACTACTGACACTTGAGGAAGAACCTATTTCTCATCTCCCCCCCCTCCCCGCAGCTTGATATAATAGAGTCCTATTACTGCTATTTGTCCAGCAGCAGATGAGAAACTACATCTGCAATATGTTTGAAAGTATAGTGGGAGTTACAGTGTTGTGTTAAGATGGTTAGGCAGAGTGGGGAATTGATCCTGTGTGATTTTTAGGATTTAGTTATGGTAAGGCAGCTGAAACCAGTTTATGTGCGAACATGTTTCAGAGTGATGGCTAAACGATGGATGAGAAGTTAATCTTGATTTGATTTTTGCTCAAGAAATTTGCAACCACCACTTATCATTTAGCAAATTTATCTGTTGTAAAATAGACTTCAGAAATCAGTCTGGCTGTTTTATGGAGAAGGGTCCCAAACAAGATAACATAAATACATTTCTGGTCTACTGAGTGGTAGCAAAGATAGTCTAGGGTTAAGCTTAACATTGTCTCAATAAGTCACTCTCCTCTTTCCAGCACCAAACCTCACGAAATGTGAGGTCTGTGGCACCTGCTTCGAGACCCGCAAGGGCCTGTCCAGCCATGCTCGTTCTCACTTACGGCAGCTTGGTGTGGCTGAGTCTGAGAGCAGTGGAGCTCCTATCGACTTACTTTATGAACTGATGAAACAGAAGGGAAAAATGGACAGCAGCCCCGTCTCTCCAAGTCTTAGCAAAAAATCTGCCTCTCCCAAAGAAAGGTCTGCAGGGTCCTCACGGCCAACACTGCTGCTGCCTCTCGACAAACCTTCGGAAAGGTCACAAGAGCCACCTGTAAACAAAGCAATCAAATCCCCTCCAGGTTTCACCCCCAAGAATGTTTCCCAACCAGGATCTCCCATACTCAAGAAAATGGCATCTGCTCTGCCTGGTTTTCCTCCACAAAAGAACCCTGAAGACAAAAGCCCCAAGCTACCGTTGGGCCCTCTGCAGAGTCCACCTAAAACACAGTGGTCACAACTGGAGGAAGAAGGCCCTTTAAATCTAAGTGAGTCTGTTTGATCCTGATGCTGCTTGCAAATAGGAGAGCTGGCTTTGCAGGTTGCTACTGCAGGGAGCTCTTGACTTTCACATTAGCTTGTAGAGTGAACCCCTGCAGGATTGCCCACTCAGGAGACGCATTTTACAACTTTTGGCTTTACTTGGGTTACTCCAGTCACACACATCACAACTTGTGTACATTATAGTAGTGAGACATGCACCCTATGAGCGAATAAGACAAATAGGATGCATTTGATCTGATGCAAAGATTTCTGTTCTAAAAGATTAGATGGAGTGTTTTTCTTGGAGTAAGTGGGTCTTGCTTTTTTTAAAAATCCCTAAATATTTCATCTCAGCAAAAGAGGCAATTCTGTGTAATTTAACAGTCTCTTTGTCCAGCTTATCCCTATGAGGGTTGATCACACTTACACAATTCCAGATTGTGCTGCAAAGCTTTTGTGTGTGCCTTTTTTTATTTGTGCCCAGAGATCATATGTATTTATGGTTGGAACTCAACAATATTTCTCCATTAAAGGGCCAGCAGCTATAGACACCATCTTCCTTCTAAAATCTTGAGCAAAGTTAGAATACAAGATAGTACTTTAGTGCTGCTGGCATTACTAGTTTTCTGACTGAAGAAATTTTTCTATTCTTTTACACAACAGCCCTCCCCCCATTACATGCACATTTTTCCTTTTTGCTGTCTTTGTTGGGATTTGTTTTAAGATTTGTGGATTGTGACTCATAATGGAACTTCTCTGATCTGAAACTAATTTAGCATATATTTCTGGCTTCACTATTCAGAGCTAAGTCTGTTCAGCCTTTTGGTGAAATCTGTAGAAACAGTATAAGTCATCCACTATCCTTCTTTGATGTTCTTTTGCACTGGAGAATTTTTAGTGTCTGTGCTATTGATTCAGCCTTTTTCAGCTCTTCACTAATTGTTACTGGTAGATTACAGTGAATTTTATTTAGTTTTGCATATAGGCTGAGGTAAGTAGAATTATAATGAAAGAGCAGTTGTCTGATGGGTTTGAGCAAGGATTCTAAAATAATTTTTTTTCTTGTAGGAAGTGAATAAGGAATACATAAGGCTTCTGTTGTGGTTCTTTTCATTGTTGTATCAGCAGTAAAGTCCACAGCACTACTTTTATGTAAAATGTATTTCAACCTGATATATTCATCCCATCATTGAATGCCATACTAGTTTCACTGACTAAAAATTATGTAGTGTATTCAAGTACTGTTTGTTGCTTTTCATAATGAATTTAGGGCAGACACACTGTTCACAATATAATAGTTTAACTTTTAACATATGCACTACAGTCCTTAAATATGGTGCTATTCTCCATCAGTTATAACACTTAAGAGGTTGCCAAGAAATTTTAATTTTCCAATCCTGCTCTGAGCTATTATTCATCTTTAAATGGATGTCTTGCCTAGCTACTTTATGTTCTAGAAACCTATGCTGTCTTTATTTTGGATGAAGAAATTTCAAATATTATTTTGCCTTACATACCCAATAGAAGATTTTTTAACTATAACTTGTCATTTTCTTTATGGCTTATATGGCTTTTCTGAACATGCATTACATTTGTTATAGGCATAAATGTAATTAATTAAAATAAGTTCTTAAAATATTAGTTCTGCAAAACCCAACTAACAACTCCTTTCAGTTTTACATTTTGTAATTCATAAAAGGCATAGCACTGCAAGAGGTATGTCAGTATCATTCTCAATTCGTCTTATTTTGAAGTCAAAATGAAAGCTTATTAAGTGAAGATGTTTCTAGCAACTGGACAGATGGGAGAAATGAGTTCTTATGGGAAGAATTCCACTCAGTTGAATGTCATTTAGCTGAATTGACCATATTGGTAAGGAGCTTCAAGTCATGAAATATTAGGCAAATACAAATAGCACTGTTCTCTCTGCCAACTGATTTTCCTGACATCAATTGATATTTGGAAATCTGACATTATAACTAACTTTTTATTATTCCATTCTCAAAAGTTACATATACTTAAACACCTGTTGGTTTAAGCTGAGATAGAACAAGCCTATGCATCAAAAAAGAGAACTTTGTTGGAAAAATTGACCTGGGTCAGTGAAAGGAAATGTTAAATATCTCTTCTGCAAAATTGTCTGTTTTAACTATTAAATCTGCAGCTGTGCTATGGGTGAATAACAAGCCTCTCCTTTGGAGTTTTATATCAATTACTCCTATAGGTAAATATTGTTTTAACATACCCTTTCTAAGAAACGAGTCCTTTAGAGAAAAGTCCTCTTCAGGTTTTAAAAGGTGCTTGAGACACATTATTTATGTAATCGTATCTCTTGTGATCAATGTTTTTTTTTTCCGCAGCTGTAGATAGTGACTCGGGCAGAGAAATTGACTGCCAATTATGTGGTGCCTGGTTTGAAACCAGAAAAGGGCTGTCAAGTCACGCTAGAGCCCACCTGAGACACCTGGGAGTGAGCAATCCAGATGCTAAAGGATCTCCTATTGATGTTTTAAATGATCTCATCAAAAATGAAGACTTCAAAGGCCGTCTTTCCTCTCTCATCCATAGCGAGAGAGACTCATTAGGGGAGATTGGGAGTTCTGATGGACACAGCCCAAAGAGCACAGCTACAGCAACACCTACCACAGGCATGAAACAAGCACACTCACCAAGGCCTTTGGGCAAACAGCCATCTATACTCTCACCTCACTCCCTTCCACCATCCAAGAAGCTGAAGCCACATGGGCACAGGCTGTCACTTGTGGCCAGTCTACAAAGGAAACAGGGTCTTTCTTCCAGTGCGTACTGGGCATCAGATGCTGAGATGGCTCCACTCAATCTCTGTAGGTTCTATCAGCGCTGGCTATTGTCCCCTCCTCCTCTTCCTCTTCCCCCTCTACCCCTCTAGTCTTGTTTATGTGACATGGAGCTGTGCACTTAGAAATGCAGACCTCTTGTCATTACCTGCCTTATGTCTTATTTAACCAATAATGGGGTGGAGAAACGTACTCTTTGGCTTGCATTCTCCATTGCGCTTTCCCTTCAAAGCCTTTTCTGAGTGCTATATCAAAGCTTTCCCAGCTGGCCT